AGAAGGAGGAATGGAGAAAGGAAGGGGGAGAATATTCCCATCCGGGGCGGGAAGAGTATCGGGGGGGGGGGGGGGCAAGGGGAAAGTGGGGGGTCCTGGGAGTGAAGGGTGAAGGTATGGGTATGGGGGCAGGCAACTGGGTCAGCTGACTGTAACTGGGGCTCCCAAAGGACCATTGGAGGTTATAGGGAAAATGGGGGAAAGTGGCAGGGTCTCAGGGGCAATTAGGAAATCGGGGGGAAGCAAGGCAGCCTGGTGCTGGGGCAAAGGAGTGGTCCTGGCATGGGCCAGAAGACAATGGGAGTCCTGGGGGAAACAGGGGGACCTGTGAGTTCAGGAGTCCTGGCAGGCTATGGTCCCCCTTGGACACCCAGGTGTTGTGTGTCGTGTCCGTCCCCTCCGATTGGTAGGGAATTCCAAGGGACTGAGGGTCCCACAGGGTTTGGGAGTCCCACGGTGGTCCGTGGACAGCCTCAAAAGCAGGGGTATTTGGAGGGTAAGGTTTACCGAGTCAGGAGGAGTCGCACCAGCAGCAGCACAAGCACCGTGGAACCAAGTGCTAGCCCCAGTCCCAGGAACGCCATGTGGCTCCCAGAGGTCCTGCCGTGGGGCCAGTGCAGCACAGCTCTGAACTGAGCCTGGAGTCCCTCCTCTGCCTCCACGCTTCCCCCTGATACTGCAGGGACCCACGTACCTTGGGTCATGGGGCACTACCCCCCAGGGCCCACGTGTCCCCGCAGCCACAGACCTCACTGCCCCCCACAGACCCAGGCATCAGGGGTGTCCGCTCCACCCCACGTGTCCCACTGCCCCCAGAGGAGCCAGGCATCAGGGAACACCCACTCCACCATGGATCCACCCCGCTCATGCTCCCCACGCACTCCCCCCCCATGGGATTGGGCTCTCCGGGGCCCCACTCCACCCCACACCGCTCACTGTCACCAGGGCACTCAGGTGTCTGGGCGCACCGTTGAGGTAGAAGTACTTGCGGGCCAAGGGCTCAGAAGGGACTCCCAGGTGACAGGCGATGGTTCCTGGAGCGGGGTCCTGGACGGTCAGCATGTAAAGTCCCTCCACAGCCACCTCCAGCTCCTCAAACAGTGCCAGATCCTGTGTGTGCAGCTGAGGCATGGGGGAACATGTCAGCACAGCCTGGTCCACCAGGTACATGAAATGGCATAAACGTGCATGAAAAGGCACTCCTGTCCCGCTTGTCATGTCCCCTTCACGCTTCTGGTACTCTTTGTGCGTGCGTGTGCACGCAACTCACGTTCCACATGTGCTTGCCATGCCTTGTGTGTCTTCACACACGGATGCACAGGCAGAGCACACGAGCACACGTACGCCAACGGTCACATTGATGAGAAGTTCCCCATGTCCTTGCCATGTGCACTTGAGCCCAGAACCCTCCCGTGTGCTGGGCTGCACCCCCAGAGCTTGAGCAGCAGCTCAGGGAGGGGATTCTCCCGCTCTGCTGCACGCTGAGGAGCCCCCCTCTGCAGCCCTGATCCAGCTCTGGGGCAGCAGCACGGGAGGGACGTGGAGCTGTTGGAGCAGGGACAGAGGAGGCCACGGAGATGCTGTGAGGGCTGGAGCAGCTCTGCTCTGGAGCCAGGCTGAGAGAGCTGGGCTGGGTCAGCCTGGACAAGAGAAGGCTCCTGAAGGGGAGACCTGAGAGCAGCTCCAGTGCCTGAAGGGGCTGCAGGAAAGCTGGAGAGGGGCTTGGGACAAGGGCCTGTAGGGACAGGCCAAGGGGAATGGCTTGAACCTGCCAGAGGGGAGACTGAGATGAGCTCTTAGGCAGAAGCTCTTCCCTGGGAGGGTGCTGAGGCGCTGGCACAGGGTGCCCAGAGAAGCTGTGGCTGCCCCATCCCTGGCAGTGTTCAAGGCCAGGCTGGACACAGGGGCTTGGAGCAAGCTGCTCCAGTGGAAGGTGTCCCTGCCCGTGGCAGGGGTTGGAACTGGATGAGTTTTAAGGTTCTTTCCAACCCAAACCAATCTGTGATGATTCTGATACTTTGCATTTTCTGGGAAGTCAGAGTGGGCTTCTGGCAGCTCCTGCCCAACCCACTCCTGAGTGACAAGATCATCCAGCCCTGCACAACGCACCTCCCATCATATATGGGAGGAAAATGAAGGATTCTGGAAAAAGGAGATACAGGATAAGTAACCCACTGTTCCTCTCTTTGGCAGCACCACAGCCCTCAGGACACTTGTCTGTGCCAGGCTCCCAATGGATGTGATTTTTCAGCCTCTAAGAGGCCAGAGCAGATCTCAAAAGGATCCCAGTGGTCTCTTTTTTCTTTTGTTCTTGAAATTTTGAGGTTAATTTAACTAATGCAGTAAAGTACAGGAGCAATTGCTGCTCTATTTCTTGGCCGTCTCCCAGCAGGTTTCCCACCTATCACTTACTAGGATTTATTTACCATTTTTATCCCTGCTACGACGGGGCACAGACTTAGGGGATGTGAGGTGCATCCTCCTCACCTGCTCACACAGAGCCTGGTCTGGCAGGGCAGAGTCACCACTAACCCCACCAGCACAGTTTGTGCATTGGGCAGCATATCCCCATCCCTGGTCCCACCAGGCTGCAAAACTCACCTTGAGCACCATCCACAAGCAGAGGCATCCTTAAGCACCAACTTCCCCCATCCTCAAGCATCTACCAGATCCACCTGTACAAGAGGACCTACTGCTGAATTTCCTCTTCCAGAGCCCTTTGCCAGCCATGTTGCTGCTTCCACACAGCAGTAGGGGCCTCATGGCTATGGGAAACACCCTGGAACGCTGGCCCGGGAGAGCACAAATTGCATAAAGTGGGGGTTTTAGGGAACCAACTACAGGGACCAAATGAGTTTTGCTATTGGCCATGTCTACCTTTATTGGGGTAAACAAGGGTACAGGTGGATGCTCGCTACTGCACTCCAGAAGAACTCTCGAGGAGCCATGGTGGGCTGCTGGGGAAGCAGCAAACAGCTTAATACCACAGATATCCACATCTCCTCCCTACAGATTTCTAGGGGAGCCCAAACTCCACTTGGGCTAAGCATGGGATCTCCTATACCCAGCAAGCACTGTGGGAGCACCAAGCATGATGCTTCCAGCCAGGCACACACCATCCTTGCTGTGAGTTTCCCAGAATCTTTAGTAAAATATAAAGAAGGGGAAAAAATGTGTAAAGAAGGAAAAATGTGGGGAAAACATACTCTTAAGCTTTAGCACAGCATCACAGAATGCAGCAGAGTGCTGGGAAGCCCTGCTCACCTGAGGAGGTCCTGCCTGCAGCAGTGCAATCAACAAACACCAGCAATCCCAGCAAGGACTATGAGACCCAGCTCCCGTTTGCTGTTCTCACATGTTCTCTTTTAAAATAGCAGGGAGAAGACCTCACTCTCTTCAGATACCCCAGGACGAGCACAGTATGGCAGGCTGGCAGCCCGAGGATGCTCCATCCCCAGTGAGACCCCGGCCAGACGTTATCCCTCATTCTGTCCAGTGAAACTTGCTCATTTCTTGTGTTGAAAAACCACATTGTGTCCACTCCTTGTCTTTCAGCTTACATTAACCACCCCACTGGGGCTGGTGGGACCCGTCCCATCCTCTTCCCAAGGGCAAGGGCAGCCCCAAAGTGAGTGAAGGGGAAAAACATGGTGTCCCCATCCACTCTCCATCTGTAACCCCCTCTGCAGAGAGCTCCAGGACCAGAGGAGACTCAGGGACAAGGTCATTCCCATCCCCAAGGAGGGCTTTGCCCCAGGCACGGTCCCTCTTTAAAATATGAGCCCCAAAATTGCTGCAGACTTAATCATGGAGGAGACACCTCTGTGAGATGAATGAGTTGGTTTAGTTACAGGGAATTGGAGCAACTAGCTTTGATCCTGACATTTTATAAGTAGCCATAAACATCTTCAAGGGAGGGTGGCAATTACCTTGGCACAATCCACTGAGTGATATATGGTGCCTGCAGCAAAGGAAGCAACAACAGTGATTTTAGCTCCTTGTCAGCATTACACAGCAGCACACTGAGCTACGCTGCTCCCCAGGTGGTCTCTGCTCCAGCAGTATTCATTGTGGCCACAAAACGTTCCTCATCGCTTCCTCAAACCAGAAAGCATGTTTTGGTGCTTCACTGGGAACAGCTTTAATGCCATTCTGCCAACCCATGACCTTTTTAATCTTATTTTCTCCCCATCCTCCTAAAGAGGGAGGGTGAGCTGGGTGGGTGCCTGGCAGCCAACCAAGGCCAACCCACGACACACATCCATACACTTCTGCTTCTTTTCCAAATGGGCCTTTGCAAACCTTATAGAATCACAGAATGGTTTGGGTTGGAAGAGACCTTAAAGCTCATCCAGTTCCAACCCCCTGCCATGGGTAGGGACACCTTCCACTAGAGCAGCTTGCTCCAAGCCCGTGTCCAACGTGGCCTTGAACACTGCCAGGGATGGGGCAGCCACAGCTTCTCTGGGCACCCTGTGCCAGCGCCTCAGCACCCTCACAGGGAAGAGCTTCTGCCTTTTATCTAACCTGACCCTCCCCTGTTGAAGTTTAAACCCATCACCCCTTGTCCTGTTGCAACAGTCCCTGATGAAGAGTCCCCCTCTGGCATCCAAAGTCCTTCTCTGGCATTCATGGTTTCCTTCTAGGAACCCTGTGCTCCCCATGGCACAAGGACAGGAGGCAGCTCAGCACTGGAGACAGCTCCTGAAGGACAGTGACTTTTGTGGCCCCCTGTCTCCAAGGGCTCTGCCTGGCCACTACACGGGGCCAAGCATGGAGCTGCATGTCACTACCCTGCAATGTCACAAGCGTTCCCAGGCTTGGAGACCTCACCAGGACTGGAGATCACCGGCTCCATCCCCCATTCTTCCAAGTGAGGCTTGAAGCAGAAAGGCTGGATAATAACTTCAATTTCTGTGGCCTTGCTTTCTCACTGCTGTTTCTCCATGATGTTTGTAGCTTATCTGTTTAAAGAAACAAATGCAGTGACACACCAAAGGTGCTCAAAGGAAAATTATTTTATTTTTCTTTCTTCTTTAGAAACACTTTTTGCACATTAAGAAATTAGGTTCTTAAAGAAAAAGAAATAGAATCACAATCTCAGGAACACTCACCACCTACATCACCACAGGCACTAGGAATTGCAGGCTTATGGACCTCACCGTTAAGGCGGGAGCATGGTGAACACCTCTGATCTCTGCTCCTGGAGCTCAACAGGAAAACAAGAACACTTGAGCATGACCACAGTTTCTTCCCGCAACCTGTGCCTGTTTCTGCAGCTGGATTCAGTTTTCATTTACATCAGATTACCCAAGCCAGCAGCAATGCTGTTGACCTGCCTGCGTGGCACACAGGAAGCCAATGGCCAAGCTTGCTGGCTCCCCACAGCACATCCGCACCATGAGCAGGACACTGGACACACACAGCTGGAGCCTAACAGGGATTTGAAGTTATATTCACTGCTTAGGGCTGCTGGGTGGGATAAAACTACTTGGAAAATATTCATTGTCAAGCCCATGAAGCTGGAAGACATTTGGAGAGATACCAGAAGTTGCAGACGACATTAACAGGGGTGCTGTTACTTACAGCATTCCCAGGAGGATGGGAGAAGGTCTTTATAGGAATTGGCACCAGTGTTTGAAATGTATAAATCTGTTACTGTCTGCACAATGATACTTTAGCAGGGCTCAGGCTTTTAGATCCAGATCCATCTGCAGTCTCACCTGCACAGATCCAACCAACTTGTGGAGTTGAAGTCCCCCTGGCACTTATCCTTATAGATGTGGAATGTTCTGCAGCCAAGCTGGTGCCAGCACATGCTGGGCTCTCCTTCCACCAGGGCACAGAAGTCAAATGAACGTTCCCTTCACATCCAGCTCCCAGCGCCCTCTGCTGTGGAGACCGCAGCCACTACCTCCCTCACTGTGCTGCCAGTTAAGATAAACTGCCAGCATACACCGTTTGCGATGAACCTCAAGATAGAAAGCAATATAAATACTTTCATCCAAGAAGCCCTAAAAACGGGAAGAAAGACTTAAATAAAGACTTTACTCTCCTTCTCCTGTCAAACATCAGAAAAGTCTAAGTGAATAGGGTCAGAATCAGTGGTAGCCTAGAAATGGAGACCAAACCTCAGCAGCCAGCCAGCCCAGAGTTCAGTGGGCCCCAGCCTCAGCACCCAGAGATGTCCCTTGCTTTGTTCTTCCGCTGGTGTCTCACATCCAAGGGATCGAATCCCCTCTCTCTGGACCCAAAGAGTGCCCAGTGAGGAGTTCTGGCTGCGTAATCAGCCGCTGTGAAAGTCTGGGAGCCGCCGCTTTGCTCCTGTGCTCGCACCAGCTCCTGGAAGCGGTCGTAGTTGATCCATGTGCACCACTCGCCATTGATCTTGAACTGGAAGGAAAAGAAGCACGTTGCTGAGCCAGGGAGCAATGAGAAATACCAAACACCACACGTGTGCTAAGACAAGCTGGGTGAACGTTAAACTGGTTTCCCAGATGTAGCAGTTTTTAATTTTTTAGCCACCACAATGCCCATGGTAAAGCCATCCAGAAGCTACTGCAGGGTAACTGCTTTGATAGGAAAAAAAACAAAAATTCAGGTGAAAACCACCCAGAACTTACGGTTTCTCAGCTACATTCATCCACAGGGTTTGAAAACACACAGATACAGGGTGGCTGTTTTTCTTACAGCTTTAGTCATTTAGTACTGTCTACCAGCAGATAATCTCCATGAATGGCTGACTGTTGGGTGCTTTACTGGACCCTTCACGGTCCCACCACTACCCACCACCACTACAGCCCCACTTTCACAGTGTGCATCACAAAGTCTTCCCAAGTCTGTCTGCCCTTGCCAGGTGTCACTTATACCTGAAAGACTCTGGTTTGGGGAAGAGCGCTGAAGGAAATGCATCAATTTGAGATGATGCCCAGGTACCCCTTGATGAAGCGACCCTGTCAAGTCAACAGAAACACCTGCTCAGAGGGCATGGCACCAACGATAATGCTGCGAGGGCTGGAGCAGCTCTGCTCTGGAGCCAGGCTGAGAGAGCTGGGCTGGGTCAGCCTGGACAAGAGAAGGCTCCTCAAGGGGAGACCTGAGAGCAGCTCCAGTGCCTGAAGGGGCTACAGGAAATCTGGAGAGGGGCTTTGGACAAGGGCCTGTATGGACAGGCCAAGGGGAATGGCTAACCTGCCAGAGGGGAGACCGAGATGAGCTCTTAGGCAGAAGCTCTTCCCTGTGAGGGTGCTGAGGAGCTGGCACAGGGTGCCCAGAGAAGCTGTGGCTGCCCCATCCCTGGCAGTGTTCAAGGCCAGCTTAGAAGCAGCTTGGAGCAAGCTGCTCTAGTGGAAGGTGTCCCTGCCTGTGGCAGGCGTTGGAACTGGATGAGCTTTAAGGTCTCTTCCAACCCACACCATTCTGTGATTCTATACTGCACTGAGCTCCTCCTGGAGCTGTTAAATGCCTCCTGCCTGCGTTGCTCTGGTAGCACTGAGTTGTTATGACCAGCAGCAACGTGGTGCATCTTCAGCTTTTTCCAAAATACATACACTATGCCTTTTTTTCTCCCCCAGAATAGTACCAAGCTAACTCTAGAGATAAGTGTGTTAGAAAAAGGCACTTGTCCAGCATTTCCAAGGAGATGCACGGTGCCTGGCATCACACCCTGGCACAGCCTCACCTTTTTGTGAGCAATGAGGAGACAGTTTGAGTGCTCATGCTCACAGGCAATTTCATAGTCGGGGATAAGGTTGGCGAGCTCCTGGACGAAGTGCACCACCTCCTCGTGCCAGGGGACATTGGCCATGGTGAGATTGCTGGCCGAGCTTTTACCGCAGTAAGTCACACCCTGAGAAGAAACATGGAAATCATCGTCATCAGCTCGACCTTTCACAAGCTCAGGGCAGTGCAGCCACATCAGCCGCAACAAACCCTGAGAACAACCTGGCTTGTCCCCCCTTCACTCTGTATCTATGGAAAGGTAGAAATTTGGAGATGGCATCAAAACTTGGTCTCCCCCTGAGTGACGCGTCACCAAACCGTGTGTGCCCAGTCTTCCCCAGCAGCAAAACACAGGTGAGTGTTTACCCTGCAAAAGTAGGATAATGCATTTGAATGCATTCAAATGGAGGATGCTCGTGCTCCTGAGCTACCAAAGGACCTTCAAGAAGATCCCTTGATTTTAAAACGTGAGATGCCTGGAAGAAAGTCTCATGAACAACCAATGCAACAAGTCACTATGATGCATCTTCACTATGAGGGTGGTGAGGCACTGGCACAGGCTGCCCAGAGAAGCTGTGGCTGTCTCACCCTTGGCAGTGTTCAAGGCCACGTTGGACCCCTGAGCACTGCCAGGGATGGGGCAAAGTTTCCAAGATTAGTCTTTAATTCTCTGGCTTGGCATCAGCAGCTCTGTTCACATGGGAGTCGGCAGGCTGCTCACCAAATGCTTGCTTGGGGGTAGCAGCTTTAAGGAAGACATTGAGTGTGCTCCTCTCTGCTCCCTGTCCCAGATCTCACATAAGATGATGCTACAGTGACTGCTCAGAGTTCAGCATTGCAGACCCTTGTTAAAACACAAATAAATAGAGACTGGGGGCACTCATCCAAACTGCTCAATACCCACCCTGGCTATCGAGGGCCATGACCTAGATACAAAGAAAATACTGGCACAGTAGAGACAATGCAAACACAGTCAGTAAACACACAGATTATTTTTCAGGGCTGAGTATATGCACAAACGCCCAAAAAGGCACTTCGAAAAACTCCCTCTGGCTCACTTCAGTCTTATCATCTTTGGCTTAAATTAATTCAATAAATACTGAGAACTGCTTGGAAAAAAGTCCATGTGTGCCTGCACCTCCTGGACACATCCAGGGAGGTTGGAAATCCAGGCATAGGATGGTGCTCTAGAGAATCTCTTATTGCTTAGTGCTGAGTAGAACTGAATTGATATCATTATAAAGCAGCTTGGGTCGTTTTGGTCAAAGGCCACCAGAACAACTGAGGATTTTCTACAACACCACCACTCCACAAAGAGCCTGTGAAACACTAATAGCTGAAGGAATCACCAATAACCACAGGGAACATTGAGAGGGTTTGTTATATGATTGATTTGCACCGATTGCGGATACCCAACGAAAGGCACCATTGCTCAATGTGTCCCAAAGGCCCCAGGGTTCATCATTTCCCCTGGCTTGGCAGTGCTGGCATGTTCTATCCGTACCTAAAGACAGCTAGTCTATGGGGTGGGAAGTACCCAGCACACACGGGTGGATTGAATGAGCACCACAAGCGTCCCTTGGAGAAAGCATGGAGAGAAGCTTCCCATCACACACTGGTCTGCAAAGATCTGCAAATCACTAGTATGAACAGGCAGGAACATGAGGCTTTGAGGAAACAGCTTTTCTGATGGTTTCCTAGAAGCACACTCAGAACTAGTCACTAATTTAGTAGTGGCATTTCTCAAAAGACACTTTCATCTCAGACTGAACTGCATTAAGTCAGCAGAGATACTGGGTTTTTGCTCCAGGCCCCTTCCCAAGCAACTGATAAGCAAATGGACCAAAGGAGAGCCAGTTGGAGCAGGAAAAGTGCTCCTGCCATGCCATACACGAAACCAAGAGGTGAGCAGCGATGATTTCAGTGATATACTTGCAAGAGAAGCTGAGGTCTTCTTGGTCAGTAGCATCCCCTGCAGCAACTACCTCCATGCCCTGCAGTGATCCCTGGTCAGTGGATGCAACCCCTCAAGTTCTCCTACACCGCACTCCTCTCAACTTCAGCCCATCATTCTGAGATCAGCTGCTCCTAATTTGGAGATTTGAATACTTCAACCTCCTGAATTACTGATTTGGTCTTAGGCATGACCTCAAGTTCACTACAGCCTTGCTCCATCTTTAATTTGGTTAGTAAAATTCTCACAAATTAGTTCAGCGGTATGTGGCTTGCTGAGATGTAATTTTGCTAATTACTTTCTTTCCAGATAAGATCCACTAAAGGCTTGTTCAACTAATTCAACCTGTGGTATCCCAACAAAGGTCACAAACCCACCAGTACCTGAAAGAGCAAACTGACAAGAGCGAGCTTGTCTTCTAGATAAAAGTCCACCTACTCTGTACCTCTCCAGGAGGTTTTACCACCTTCGCTCTCTGGCTGCACTATTTTATTCCAGTTACAAAACCCCATTAAGCACCAGCCTTTAAAACAGAGCACACACAACTTTATGTATGATTATTGGTCTTGTTCAGCCTGGAGAAGGCTCCTTAAGGGGAGACCTTAGAGCAGCTCAGGTGCCTAAAGGGGCTACAGGAAACCTGGAGAGGGGCTTTGGACAAGGGCCTGTACGGACAGGCCAAGGGGAATGGCTTTAACCTGCCAGAGGGGAGACTGAGATGAGCTCTTAGGCAGAAGCTCTTCCCTGTGAGGGTGCTGAGGCGCTGGCACAGGGTGCCCAGAGAAGCTGTGGCTGCCCCATCCCTGGCAGTGTTCAAGGCCACGTTGGACACGGGGGCTTGGAGCAAGCTGCTCCAGTGGAAGGGGTCCCTGCCCATGGCAGGGGTTAGAACCGGAGATTTCAGGTCTCTTCCAACCCAAACTAGTCGGTGATTCTACGATTATGATTTTTATCTGTGAAGAACACTTTACTTGTTTTAAAATGGCATTTGCATCCAGGCAATGTTTACGGCACGTGGTCCCAGCTAATGCTGCATTCCCAAGATCTAGTTTTCCCCCACTGAAGCTGCACATGTCATGTCCAGCAATAAACAGAGACAGATCCTTTACAAACACTTAAAATTAGTGCAAGGCAAACCATGCATAAGAAAGGAAACAGGCTCATGCTAATTAAAAACTCTGCATGTTTTGGAACCAATTAGTTTCTTGCTAGTAAATTTATGAGACATCTCCTGTATTCATCTGCCCGAGCAAAGGATATTAGAGCCATGCACTCTAACTCAGATCCAGCATGGAAACAGGTTGACTGTGCACAATCTCAGACAAGTCGGGGTGCATTAAACAGAGATGGACATTACTGTTTTAGCCTGCCTCTACAAGTCTGAAAAGGATTTTAAACATTCTTTTATTAGGGCAGCCAGCCATGTCAAGAATAGGATATGTACCTCCAAAGTTCAGCTGCAGAAACATGGCTCCATACAGCAGTGTTTTCCCTGCATTCATTATATAGATTCTATTTTGAGCAGCATGAAAAATGTATAACTACAGAGGGGGAAAATTCTTAGGAAGTTACAAGGCGACTCATTCTTTTGGTAAACTTCAAAGATATCATTTACAAGCAAAGAAAGCACCGAGCAGATGGAATAACTAAGTGCTCAGATGGCTGATTCATTCACAAGCACAGATCAATGAAAATCGGCTTAGCAGCCCACCAAATGAAAGCACAGCAGCTTTCAACTTCTCCACCTTCTGAAAACTTGAGTTCATTAACAGTGCTGGTACCACTTCAGATGGGAGCAGTTGATTCGGGTGGTCATGTTGTATTTGTCAGTAATGCACAAAGACAGTTATTAAGACATCAAGGTATTAGAAAAGGAAACCTTTCCGTTGCGTACCCTAAGCTCTTCCACCAACTTCCCTGCAGCAACACCACCAAGGATGCTGCCCCTTCATTAGTCATTAATAGGGGTGCTTTTAGCAGCTTCATCATGCCACAGAGCTTTTGGCCTTGAAACACAGAAGTCTGTTGCGAAGCAGCTCAGCTATTCTGGGTTACACTGGTGTGAATCCAGAGCACTGGGTGGGCTCTGGATTCCCATGGTGCTGTGTCAGAGCTGACTGTGCACAGCTGTGGTTGTGCAATGCCTTGTGCCAAGATGATTATCACTGTGCAGTGAGGAGCACATTTATTCCACCAGGATCTGGCTCCTTGCTGGAGATCTTGACAGCCAGCAATCCTCTTAATCCATGGTGAAGGAACAACTACTGGGGAGCTAAATATGACAGGGCTTTGTTTCTCAACTCTGTAACTCCAGGCTTCCCAACTTCATTACCAAGCAAGAGAATTCCCTTAACCCCTAGTCCATAAGTGATAAATTTGTTCAATTGAGACTCGTGTGAATTAACAGAAGAACTAAATGTTGGCCAAGCTGCTGGGTGACAGAGCCTCTGCTCAAAAACTGGGGCAGCCCTGGCCCAAGACAAATAGAAAAAGCCTTAAATGACGTTGATAGATAGCACTCTCTGCAATAAAAATGCTCACGATTCAAGCATCAGCATTGTCCAAATTATATACACAAGCTCTCGTGCACATTTGCTCCCCACTGGACTGGATTCAGGCTTCTTGGTTGTCTTTAATAATTGCTTTCAAGTTGATTTAACGATGGACATGGGTTTATTCATGTCAGTTAAATCTAAGAAGCAAGAATGGAAATGGTAGTGATGCAGCCCAATCCAGTATTTAACACCAGCTTTCCAGATGCACCACATGGACAACTATAAATCTTCAGTGACTAGAAGTCAAAGGAACTCCTTCTGTAAAAGCTCCACTCTGAAATACTGGACGCAGCCTTTCATTCCAGCTCTTCAAAGGGAGCCATGTAGATGTTGAGAAAGAAACTGACATGGTGAAAACACTTATCCTCTTCCCCTTATGCCCTGGTAAAGAGCAGTAACACTGAGGGAGGTGGGAGGAGCAGAAAGACAGACTGGAAGAGAGGAGGTGGATTTTCCACCAGTGACCTGCTTTGCCTCAGCCCACTCCTACCCTGCCTCAGTTTCCCCATCTGCAAAGCACAGTCTATACTGCTAGTCCTTCTTCTGCAAGCAAACACTTGGAGCCATGGAACTTCATTATCACAGCACAGCATCACTGGGACTTCACATCCAACCAGTCTCCACAGGCTTTTTATTTTCTACAGCTTCCCTTGCTCATATCTAAAAGCCTTCCAAGCTTAATGCAATTTTCATGCCCTGTAGTTCCCACTTATCGTGGATACTGACTTTTATTGAAACACAGAAAACGGATCACAATGATCCATTTTAGCTTGGGTTTTCATGAGGTTTCATGTGCATCACTGAAATCCTTGGCAGAACTGCATTTACTCGTATCAGTTTAAGACTAGGGGGATGAAAAGGGGAGGAAAGAGGAAAAAGAGTAAAATACTGATGGAAAAACCATAAGATGGCTCCACGAAGCTCACTTTGACCTCGATGAAGTCTGGTTTACCAAGGGATATCAGGTCAGCATAGGCTTTGAGTTCATCCACATTCCAGGCTTTCACCAGTGTCAGTCTGTAAACGGTGCGCTGTTGCTGAAATAGAGGGAAAATAACATTAACACCACAAAAAAAATAATTATTCATCCATTCCAAGCATCCATGGGTTAAACCGAAGCAAACCCAAACCAGGAGCCACCTCACTTGTTCTGCCAGGAAAGCTGCTGCTCAGCGTGTGTGAGCTGAGTTGCCTTTTGCCATACTTATCTTCTATATATCTAAGCACTTGCTTTTGACAACAGCTGCTTCAACTTAACAGGAAAACAACCAGGAAGTTTCTCGCTTTCATTTGCTTCCCCACACATAAAATCTAACTATTAGTTGCCATACAGATGTTTTATTTCTTCCAACTGCACCGGCTGGTACTGGTAACTTTCAGACAGCATGAACAGGAAGGGACAGACCCTTGTGTGCCCCTACCCACCAACTCTTTCAGCAGATCAGGCACAACATCGCTAAGAAAAGGCTCTCCCATGATCATAAAGCCAGGGGAATGGCTTTAACCTGCCAGAGGGGAGACTGAGACGAGCTCTTAGGCAGAAGCTCTTCCCTGGGAGGGTGCTGAGGCGTTGGCACAGGGTGCCCAGAGAAGCCGTGGCTGCCCCATCCCTGGCAGTGTTCAAGGCCAGGTTGGACACAGGGGCTTGGAGCAAGCTGCTCCAGTGGAAGGTGTCCCTGCCCATGGCAGGGGTTGGGACTGGATGAGCTTTAAGGTCCCTTCCAACCCAATCCACTCCGTGATTCTACGATGTTACACACATACTGCAGAGGGACTAAATCGAAGTGCCACCAAACAATGGTTCAAGGCTCAGGCCAACAGCCTGAACACAGGAGGAACGGTGCCAGCGCCAAGTGAACGTGGTACTGCAGGAACAGTTTTGTGGAGAGGCTCAAACAGTCTCAGTCTACTTGTATCACGTTTTCCAGGGTAAACTATGCACAGCACTTCAGCGTTTCCTCCTACAGCCAAGAAGGGTTGGTTGTCTTCTCCCATTTAAATCTCATTTCTTAAACCCTCCAATATACACCCTAGATAATTTTAGAAGACTAACTTTAAAGTTCAAGCAGTTTCCATAAAACTAAAACTGCTACAAATGCATTAACAGCTTTTTCCCCTCATAGGCTAGCACTGACAAGCAGTATCAGCCGCCTGTGTGTATCCATCACTTCAGTAACTGAATTAGCATAAAAGCTGTATTAAGCGATCATAACCGGTGGTGAAAGAAGTGGGTAGAGAAAGTAAAACACTGCCAAAGGGAAAAACAGCAGAAAAACAGCTACAAAAATCAGAAATTCATATTGTGACTGAAAAAACATCTTTCCAGAGAGCAACATCTCTCAAGTGTTGTCTGGGAAGAGAGAAAAGCTGGTAGAAGGGACACATCAAAAGCAGTAAGGACCTAATACCACAAAGTGTTAGATATAAATAATCCTTACAGTCTGCGGGCAGTACAAATGCACAATCCCATTTCATTCATGTATTATTTGTAATTGCTTGTACAATAGGGCCCCAGAAATCCTCTTGTAAGCACTGAAGAACAAGAAGTAAGAGCTTAAGACCGGAGATTTTAATGATTTAAAGCATCAGGATAGAAAACCAGGCTTCAGTGCTTTACCCCAGGATTCCAGAAAAGTAACCACTATTTCCCTTCAGACACCCATCAGAATAACATTAGCAGAAAAATTAATGTGATAATGACTCTCTGAATGGGTGAAAGTTAAGAGTGTGGAACCACATCTATTTTATGCGAAGAAGCTCATCCTGCAGCCAGGAAAAGCGGCCATGGCTGGGCCTGGCGGCACCGCAAGTGCCCATCGGGTGCAAAAACAAAATGAGAGAGCGGAAATAAAAGAAGAAAATAGGTCTTGTAAATAAACAGGGAATTCCTCCCTCTCTGCTGCACTCTGAGGAGACATCCCCCCCACCCCCCGCCACAGTCCTGCATCCAGCTCTGGGGCAACAGCACAGAGAACTTAGAAAGCCTGTACCTGATTTCAGTAAGCTCACAGTTTGCCCTGAGATGCTGCTTAACAAGATCAGCCAGCACTTGCACGCAGGCAGCTTGATGAAGCTACTCACAGCATTTTTAGGAGAAAGTGTCCCACAATTACACCGAGCCTCCCAGGTCTACTAACACGGATCTGGCAGAAAATGGTCCACCACTGTCATCTCAGAAGGCAGAAAATCTCAGTATTCAAATGAAACAGTCTCTCTTGGATGCTCATCTCAGCAGGTAACATGTCACCTTCTGCCAAATCAGTAAACAGAAGTACTTGCTTCCATCAGAGCTCAGTCTCAGTAAGACAGACATGGAAGCACTTAGCAAATAATGTGATGCTGGGACCACGAGTGCTTCATTAATTACTACAAAACTTGTTAAATGGTAGACTACGTTCTGAGCTGACAGCAGCAGCCGTGATCCCGTGGGCCCTCAGATCATGCTCAGCTCTCTCCAACAGATACCAACTACTACAAACCACTGACAGTGGAAAGGGTCACCCTTGCTGTTACACTCAGATCTACTATTATAAATTGGATTTCTATGGAGCAGGAGCTACTGAACTCCATACTGTAAAGCCCTTTATCTACTGCATCCTTTGAGAACCAGTGCTAAGAGTCACATGGCAATTTATGACTCTTCCTAAGCTTCCCTGGATTTCCAGTTTTCCTTCAGCAGCCTGCTTGCAGTGTAAATGCTCCATTAGGAAATGTTCTATTCTTTTATAATCTCTTCATCTCTCATAGCATCTTATATTCACAGCAGAGTTTACTGTCCCATTTGACACATATTCTGCTCTCTTTTTGTCCTTACATTTCTCCCCATATGGAAAACTGATCAAACGTGCTGGACTTTATAAACTTCAATGTAAAAAACATGTAAATATGCTCCGAATACACCCAGAACCAACTCCACGGTCCAGCTTAAGCCTCTCAAGTCTTCTCCTTTTGTACTGAGTGGATACAGCCAAGAAGAAAGAATATTTCAGAGCACACTCTTTACTGGGTACCTTTTCAGACAAGGCCTTTAAACTGTCCAGAAACCTCTGCCAGAAATCCTTGAAGAGGGGCCGATCAATTCTCTTCAGGCTTTCCTTGGTGCTGGCATCCACGCTGACATACAGCTGCGTTACTGGCTCAAGGTTCCTTGGAAATAAAAACGAGAAGGCAATTGTCCAGAGGTTCATCTCCATCAAGTGACTATCATCTTAATAGCAAGACATTATAACTTAACTTTCAACAAATACACCCCAAAGCTAAGAATATCACACAGAGAGCCTTGGCAGATGGTTCAATTATCTTTTCCTTACTCAACTAAAACATATTTCACTCCAGGGTTAACTGTAGCACATGCAGAAAGGCTTCCCAAAGCAGGCTGCCAGGGGTTACTACGAGGCACTGAAAGGCTCTGCTTCTCCCCATGGTTACAAACCATAAAGCTCAGCCCCTTCCCCACATTCTATTTGCTCTGGCTAATGGAGACATAATCCCATTCGAGAGAAATGCAGCCATCATTCAGCTGCTTTCTACTGCTGGACACACTGAACTCACCTGGCCTGCAGCTGCCATCAGTAAAGTACTTTTTGGAAGGGAAATCAAAGCTGTTTAGAAAATGAAACCAAACACAATTCCCCAGCATGTTCTCCTTCCACTTCCAAGGCTCTTATCTTGTATAAATCCCGCACTCCAGTCTTTCTGGTCACACAACACCAGTGAGCACAGCATCTGTGAGCCCAACAGCAGAACCTCCTCTGAGAGTGTGAAGAGCCTGGCTGGGGTCTAATCCCTTCTGTAAACTCCAAGGGTATAAAGGAGAAGCAGCACCACTGCAGACCATTGGCAAACAGATAACGAAGGACATTAAAAGGAACAACCTAAAACAAGCTCCCTTGTCACAGACAAATCTGATCAAGCCAGTGAATGTAACACATGTCCACCCTTCATGGCATCTTCCATGGAATGATGCATCCTAACTGTACCACGTATCTCTTCAGCTCTCCACGCTTTTCAGGACATTTTGCAAGCGTTATTTGGGAAGTCTCTTAATGAACAGGCTGCTGTCCCAGCTACATTTGGCTCTTTAGACAAGAAGAAATTAGAAACTATTGTTCAGCTGCCAACAGTGACACCTAAAAAGACACCACCCTCTGCCCTCCCCAGAGGTGAGAAAGGGACAAGAAATTGTCCAGAATGAGACCAAGCATCCAGGAAAAGCCACTTAACATGGACACTCAAACAACCTCTCTGAACACATTCTGCCTGTATTTAGAAGCATGAAATAGCCCAGAACAAACACAACATTTTAGGTTTTAAAAAATAAAACCAACTGTTTTGCATAGAAGCTTGTCTGGCCTTGCAGCCCAAAGCCACAACCTCAAAAATGATCAAGTGTTCTAGGAGTGAGCGGATTGAAGTATTCAGTTTCAAAGTACGTGGCCAAAACACTCTTTTCTTCACTTAATGCTGCATTTGCCTAATCAAAAGGGGCTCCAGGGAAGATGGAGTGAGTGTTTTCAAAACATGAGCTGAGAAAAGTCACCTCTTCTCTGAGGATCTCAATCCTCAGGACAGGCAAGAGCCAGACTCACTGTTGTACTGGAGAAAATTAAGGAATTGGAAGAGATCCCAGGGAGGGATTTCTGCCCCACATTGCTCCAAAATGGAACGGTCCACAGGGTTCTGTTATGGCTCGAACTGGAGTGACGCTGACCTTGTGCATGTTCTGCCATAGGGGAACGAGGAGAAAGGGCACAAACTGATGCTCCTGGAACACAGCTACGTTTCATACTCAGCAGGAAATACTGTTGCATAGTACTAGGATGGATTTTCCAGCGTTCCTCCTACTTTATCGGTTGTCATTTCCAATCTACCCGAGATCAAATTCACTGCATTACCACATCTGAACTTGGGCAGTGATTTCTGACTGAGTAGCACAGCACAACTCAAGAGCAATAAATTGCTCTCAGGCCTCCAGCCATGAGGGGGATTCCCCGGCCAGTCAGGAGACAGCCTGGTCAAGGAGATAAAGAACAGAAACAAAGGAAGAGGACTCAAGCCAGTAACTGCTCAATACATGCTCATGGGCTATAAAACCTCCTGTGTGTGCCTGGAGACAGATGAAGCTGCACTCATAGAATCACAGAATCACAGACTGGTTTGGGCTGGAAGGGACCTTAAAGCTCATCCACTTCCAACCCCCTGCCATGGGCAGGGACATTTTCCACTAAAAGACCAGGTTGCTTCAAGCCCCGTCCAAACTGTCTTCTGCAGTTAGAACAAAGATCAGACTGCAAGAGAAGCTCACAAATGAAAAAGGCAATTTACAAGCTGAGTCTCCTGCTCTGGCTCTCAGAAACACTTGCACTAGTTATCATCCATGTCCCCAAGCCCAATTATGCAGCTCACTCGCTCTTCTTCCGCTGTACGTCCAGGAGGTACTATATTATATCCTCTTCCTTTTCAGAAGTAATCCCACTTTAAGAGATACAGAAAGGAAAAATCAAACTGGTAGAAAAAGGGATGAGGAAGAGCATGGGGAGACAAAGGTTAAAATCAAATAGATGCGATACTCAGTGGGCTTTTTCACTGTCAGCACAGAGCTGACTGATGAGCAATAAAGTGGAATTAAAACACAAGTCTGCACTCAAATGTTTTAGTAGGCATTTTGTCCATCTCTTACCTAATCTCATCTGGGAACTGTGCATTTGTAACCAGGAAGGTAGAGATGCTGTGCTGGTGCAGGAGCCTCACAAACCGGTTGATCTCCGGGTACATGATGGGCTCTCCCACCAGTGACAGTGCGCAGTGCTTTGCGGTCATCGCTTCCTCAAAGCGAGCTGCTTGTACTCCTGAGACGCCTGCAAATAGAGGGAAAACCAGGGTTCTGTTATGGCTCGAACTGGAGAAAACCAGGCTTAAATCACCTACCACCCCCACCCAAACCATGCATCTGTATCGAAAATAAACCCTGGCACAAGGAAGACAGAGCAAAACCAGCTGGAGCCCTCCTCAAGGGGAGGGGACATCAGGGCACAGCCAGTGTCCATCTACCCACAGCACAGAGTACGCCCAGATACACGGAGCTTGGGATTTTGTGCGTCCTGTGAACTACTGCAAGTAATCTTCTAGTAATGTTTGAGTCAAGCTTTCCATTGCTATCACCTCAGTGAAGCTGCCTGGATGCTGAGACGGAAACACAGGAGAAAGTTTAATGCCACTTGACATAAGTGTCTTGAAAAGGAAAAGCAGGGTATGCCTGCGTCTGCTGCTGACCCACATGGTCCCACAGCCCCAGAGGGAACAGCTCCCCAAGAAGCTGGCCACACTCCCCACACAAAGCACCAACAACCAGGTCCAAATCCATACTGGCAACCACATGAAATGCAACTCCACAGAGGATGTATTCAAAAAGAAAACCCGCCACATGACACCGTCCTGAACAGCAAGAGACGTTCCAAGAACAAAAAGAGGAAAACACCAGGAGCTCAACTGCAGCATCCATGTGAAAATGCTGTCTGCAGGCTTAACCAACCTGAGCCACGTGTGTTGCGCCCATCAGAGGGCAGGGGAGAGGCAAATGCTCCTCCTGGAGTCCTCAGTACAGGAAAGACATGAACCTGTTGGAGAAGCTCCAGAAGAGAGCCCCCAAAATTATCAGAGGGCTGGAGCAGCTCTGCTCTGGAGACAGGCTGAGAGAGTTGGGCTTGTTCAACCTGGAGAAGGCTCCAGGGAGACCTTATTGCAGCCTTTCAGTTCTTAAAAGGGGCCTATAAGAAAGACGGGGAGAGACTCTTTAGCAGGGCCTGCTGCGATAGGATGAGGGGTGATGGGTTTAAACTCAACAGGGAGATTCAGGCTGGATGCGAGGAAGAAATTTTGTACAATGAGGGTGGTAAAACCCTGGCACGGGTTGCCCAGAGAGGTGCTGGATGCTCCATCCCTGGAGACATTCAAAGCCAGGCGGGATGTGGTTCTGCCAGCCTGATCTAGTTGAAGATGCCCCTGCTCATTGCAGGGGGATTGGACAAGACGAGTTGTGAAGGTCCCTTCAAACCCAAACCATTTTGTGATTCTATACCAGACCACGTGTTCAGATGTGAAATCAGCTGCCTACAAATAAGCTTTTGCTCTAAATATGTCCCTGCATGTTCCTTTGACATGCCTCAATGTATTCAGATAATATCAGAGGGTTTAGATGGGAGATTGGTCTGTTTTAAAGAAACCAAAGCCTTGAGTTTCAAACCAGGTCCTCAGCTCACCTTGTGTTGCCTAGAAGCTGGAGCTCAGGCAGTACAGAAAACTATAGGCTATGCTCCAAAGCCCAGATAAAAAGAGGTGTTGGTGGATATTGCTTCAGCCTCACGTAGAAAAGCTGGTCTGTGATAAGAGCAGAACTTGGTGCATGATAAAGCAGCCACACTCAGCCCTGAAGAAGTGACAGGACTAATGGTTAATGCTGCACAAACCTGACAGTACTAAATGAGACCTTCATCTGAAAAGAAAGCAGCATCTCAACCACACACTGAGATTAAAGGATAACTTTCCTTTTCCCAAAGCTACTTGAAGGTGGCTTTGAATTTAATTAATTTCTCTCCCTCAGCACCTTGCCACTGGATGATGACAATCACCCTGTGCCAGCTTTAGAAGCAGACAGAAAGTAATGCCAACAACATGTAAAGTTTGAGTCACTTTCTCAGAGCAGTTGACATCAAATGTAGCATAGGGGACATACACTGCAGAGAGGGCAGAGGTTTTGTAGGAATCATCTGACTACACAAATCACAAGATAGACAGGCATAAACTAAAAAAGGATTAGTGTGTATTCCAGGGAGTGTGTGAACTCCCCTGCACTTTGGGCTGCCATACCACTACAGCTGTCAACCTCTGCTCCTGCAGATGAGCGTCCTCCTGTCTTCAGTCAATGCACTTCAGCAAAGTCAGAGCCTGGGCAGATTTTGGAGGGCATGAAGCAGGCCCAAGACAGTGCAGGAACCTGGAGCCATAGGAACATGAGTACCATCTACAAGAGGCCATGGTGTACAGCTTTCAGCTGCTGCCCAAGCTCAGTTCTCAGCAGAGCATGCAGCCATGCCTCCTTTGATCAGCACAGCTCCTCTGAAGAGCTGATCCCAGCTGCTTTCCTACTGGTGTGCTTTCATTTGGGGGGAAAAAAAGCAGCATCTGGCACATCTGCCTAGAGAGGCTGGTTGGTGACTTCGGGTACCAGCCATCCCAAGTGACTGGGGAGACAAGGAACTGGTTTTACCCACTCTTACACCAACACACACAGGTAGCCTTAGGATTTCCTAGTTCAGGTCATGCATTTTTGTTTGGGTTTTCACTTTTCCCAAGTGGAACCAGGGCTGTATTATCAGACACTGCCCATCTCATAACTTTGAATTACGTTTCCATTCTGCGTGTGCCCTTCACAAGGGAACAGATTTACCAGCCACTACCTACAAAATGCATCCATCATATAAACTGCTTCCCACTCTTCCACCTTAGCTCCCTATCAGCAAGATGTCTCCCCAGCCATTAGCCTAAAAGAATGATGTGACGTTAACCACCATCTTCAAAACCAGTGCACGCTTTGGCAACAATAAAGGAGAAGATGACAACTCTAAAAGCACGCACAGAAGTTCTTCCAGGACAGAAGGCTACTCTCGAGGATATCCTACAGGACACATGGTCCCCGAGATTTCTATTCCTTCAAAGAAGACCTCAATTTTACTGCACTGCATTGAATTAATCTTGGAATCCCAGACTGATTTGGTTAAAGCTCATTCAGTTCCAACGCCCTGCCACAGGCAGAGACACCTTCCACTAGAGCAGCTTGCTCCAAGCCCCTGTGTCCAACCTGGCCTTGAACACTGCCAGGGATGGGGCAGCCACAGCTTCTCTGGGCACCCTGTGCCAGCGCCTCAGCACCCTCACAGGGAAGAATTTGTGCCTAATCGCTAATCTCAATCTAGAAGAAATAACAAACTCACAAAGAGTTCCTATGGGAAGCAAAGTGCAGGACTTGGTGCTGTGTAACTGCTGCTTCGGTCACAAACAGATCTCCTCTATAATTCCTGAAAATAAAAGTGCTCATCCATTAATGATGAAAACACAATCCCCAAGTTTCAGAGCGAACACAAAGCTCTCAGTGGATTAAGCTTGGGCAGTGTATTTCCTATCAGGTTACAGGGTGATTCCTTTTGCCTTCTGCCTGCCCACACTTTTCCATAAGAATCCACATTCCTCACCACCCAGGCTAGCCTCAAGCACTGTGGAAGCCTCTGTGCACTCCAAATAAAGTGATATGACAATTACCAAGACGCACAAGAAGCAACTCCACACTAATCCCTTAAGGCAGCAGTAGACACCCAATGGCTGACTCATGTTCTAGTGTCAAAACCAAGGCAGAACATCTCAGAAAACAAGGTGTGCCACAACAGTTTCTTCTCACCTCTTTCTCGTGTTACGAATCTCATGCCTCCTTCCCAGCATTTCATAGAATTACAGAATTATTTAGGTTAGAAAAGCTCATCAATCCTGACCATCAATTCCACACTGCCAAGTCCACCACTAAACCACATCCCCGAGTGTCACCTTTTTAAATACCTCCAGGGATTTGCTTTGAAGATGCTGATGCTGCTTATCTTCCAAAAGCATCACTCACAGGGAAGAAAGGGGAAAAGTTACCTTTGAACTGCTTGATCATATTCTGATGGTTCTCAATAGCCTCCTGCAAGATCATTTCAGGTTGGTCCATCTTCCATTGCCACTCTGTGCCCACTGGATTTGTATGATGTCTGAAGGAAAAGACAAAGTTATGCACTGCCATTTGTAACACATGTGGGAAGGACCCATCTGACACCTTAGGGACTTAGACACAGTTTAATCATATTAAAGGCAACAAGAAATTCTCAGTAATATCCTGCTTCTGACACAGCTTTCATATGTCATCTCTGAACACCTTGGCTCTGGTTCCCCCAGAAGGAAGAATGGACCTCACAGTTTATATGAAACTTGATATACCTATCTTGAATCACAGGTAAAAGGTCTTTAAGCCAAAATGATGCTCTACAGCAAGAAAGACCTCTGCAAAGAAAGAAAAGGTTCTACCTCCATTTGAGACCACAGCTATACATATCACTAGAAAAGAAAGGTCCTAAGGCACTGAGCCCAGATGTTAAGCAGTTCTTCCCTGTGAGGGTGGTGAGGCACTGGCACAGGCTGCCCAGAGAAGCTGTGGCTGCCCCATCCCTGGCAGTGCTCAAGGCCAGGCTGGAAGGGCTTGGAGCAATCTCCTCTAGCGGAAGGTGTCTCTGCCTGTGGCAGGGCGCTGGAACTGGACGAGCTTTAAGGTTCCTTCCAAGACAAACCATCTATGGGTTTACAATTTATGTCAAGCCTAAGGTGTACATAAAGCGAACCTTGGGATGTGTCTCAAACTGAGCCTTAAGTCTTCCAACTCAACAGAGGTCCGAGAAGAGCAAACAGCTGCAGTCCATATGGAAGAAAAACAATTGCAACCCGTTTCACAGGAGGTAAATAAATGAGAATATATTTCAGCTCAGTCCCCTGCAAAGCTGTTTCACTCATACAGGTTGTTGCCATTAGTAAAAGAAGCATTCCAGCTTTCATTATCATTAGGGCTACTGTTTCCACATTTCCTCTTAAAAGTGACCAATGACAGTTAGGGGATGACGAGGCAGAGGCACCTGGAATGTATCATGCATGGAGATTTATCCCAGCTACGGCACTGTTCAATTGACACTTGTCTGACTTCCTTGGTTCAGCCCCATACTCCAGACACAGGCTGCTGCTGCTGCCAAGTAATACCAAGTGGGTCATCACAGTAACACAGTATGCTAGAGATTGGAAGGGACCTCAAAAGATCATCTAGTCCAATCCCCCTGCCGGAGCAGGAACACCTAGATAAGGTTACACAGGAATATGTGTCCAGGCGGGTTTTGAATGTCTCCAGGGAAGGAGACTCCACAAACTCCCTGGGCAGCCTGTTCCAGTGTTCCGTCACCCTCACTGAGAAGAAGTTTCTTCTCCAGTTTAAGTGGAACCTCTTGTGTTCCAGTTTGTACCCATTACCCCTTGTCCTATCATTGTTTGCCACTGAGTAGAGCCTGGCTCCATCCTCGTGACACTCCCCCTTTATATATTTATATACACTAATAAGGTCACCCCTCAGTCTCCTCTAAACTATAGAGACCCAGCTCCCTCAGTCTTTCCTCATAAGGGAGATGCTCCACTCCCTTAATCATCTTAGTTGCCCTGCACTGGACTCTCTCCAGTCATTTTGAGGGGAACAGTGTTAAATGGCCTGCAGTGCAACATCAGGAGCAAAATTCCTTGCTCTGACAACGCTATTGCTTTCTATTTGCTGTTTATGATGTACCTGCTCTGGAGGGACAGAGGGACAAAATGCATGGCAATCCTCTCCCTACCAGTCCAGTCACCGCTGCAGAATTAAATGCACCACTGCTAGCTGATACATGAAAAAAAAGGAAGACAAAAGACACAAGCAGTACATTTTCCTTCCCAGCCATTAAATTGCTCTGAAGAAAAGCAGCAAAAGTTGCACATTAAACTTGCTATTTGCTGTGTTTGTTCAAACCAGGATACGATGAAAGCCCATCAAAAGCCCTAATTAACATTTCAGAATACAAACTTCACAGGATGACCAGTGTCTAATGCTTACTAATGCTTATACCTAACACTAACATGGGACACAGCTTCTCCAAAATTGTCTCCAAAATTCTAGCAGTCCTTCTGCACTAATGCTGCCATTTCAATATCCTCATGAAGTATTTCCATGGTTAAAACTTGAAGACTATGAAACAGAAAAAGTGGGGTTCAGGAGGAATTTGCCTGGGTTTGCATGCACGCTCATTCTTTGGGATGGAATGGGTATTTCTGGCAACCAGGTCCCTGGGGAAGGCGTGAATACCAGAGGAAGCACAAGCCCCATCGTATGAGTTAGCTGGCAAGACAAAAGAGCTCAAAGAATAACCTCCACATCCTCCCACTCAGTGCACTTTCACCTCAGTGCTTTTGGTTTTGCTGAGTGTCTCTCACCAACCCCATCCTGCGCTCCCAGCCTGGCAAAACCCTCCCTTGGCAGCCCAGTGAGTGAGCACCGCTGGAGCTGCTCACCGTTCCCATCCAGGCAGAGCTCATTGCCTTTAGAGAACTAACAAAGTCATTCCCCTAAGAAGAGGGGTCACTTTACTGACTAGAATGGAAAGTCATCTAGGAGAGACTGCTTTAGGAAGGCAACAGTTACCAAGTCATCACTTTTCACGCACTGAGACTGCAGCTGAATTGGTGGGGATGAAGGTACCTGAAGTAAGAAAAACGGTCCAATTTCAAACCAAAGATACTCATGTTGCTTCGCACCTCGGTGGCTTTGCACAAGATGAGCCAGCCCATGTTCTCTAGAGCACCAGGAGCCACACGCAATCTCAGACAATGATCTCCAGAGGGAACCAAACCTCTACCAAGTGGGAATTGCAGAGCAGTACACGGAGAGGTGTGTGTCTCCTGCATCCCCAATTCCTCCTTCACTGGTTCTCAGCCAGCCTGACAGAGGACACAGCTCTAGGGAAGGTAGCACCTCCTCAGCCTCCCAGATGTGGAGCCCAGCCACCCAGCTCACATCTGACCATCCCACACCCACGGGCTCCAGCAGCTCTTGGAAGAGGAGGAATACAAGCAGGAGGGGGGAGCGACGTGCTCCCTTTCAAACTCATCCTCCACCAACTTCCAATCAAGGGGCACACAGGTAACACTGCCCTAGGCTTCAGGAACAGCACAGGGACAGAGTGGAACAGAGCCCCTGTGCCACAGTAAAACTGCATCAGAGTTTACCTCCAGCAAAAGACACATTTGTTGGCGCAGGCCAGGCTCGGTGTGGCCTCCATGCAGCGATGGCTCTCAATTCCATAAAATGTGTGCTTGTAGCAGCCTCCTCGGCCTCGGAGCATCGACTAACAGCAGAGAAAGACACAAACAAATTCCAAGAACATTAAGATGAGTGCAGAGCTTTAAATCTGCTCCCCAGGCACATTTGCAGTTTTCAGTCACTAAAAACCTGGGTGTCCAAAGTCACCTGGGACACACAGTGCAAGCAAGAGCACATCGCAGAGCAGCTCAGAATGATGACAGATGCACCCTGGGGGAAGAAGTCCACAACACACAGATCATGGAATCACAGACTGCTTTGGGTTGAAAGGGACCTTAAAGCTCATCCAGTTCCAAGCCCCTGCCACAATGTGACAATGGTACCTTTCAATCTACCTTCCTCCACCTGAGGAGTCCTGCTGATGCAAAGGGAAGTCTTCACTGAGCAGTGGGGAAAGAACACGCAGGTGACCCCTGACAGATGCACAGCCTTGCTATGCAGTTGGAAAATTAAACAAGATGGGAAATGCTGGTTATTCCACCCATTCCTCAAACAACAGCGACTTCAGGAGATTCACAAATTCTAGGAGACCAAGGTCAGGTTGGACAGGGCTTGGAGCAACCTGCTCTAGTGGAAGGTGTCCCTGCCCATAGCGGGGAGTTGCAGCTGGATGAGCCTTAAGGTCCCTTCCAACCCAAACCACTCTATGATTCTATGATATTCTGGATTTCGTAAAACAGGCAAATCAACACTCTCCCTAAAATTTGCAGCTTTTAGGCTGTTTCCCAGCATATGACAGAACACAATCTTTTTAATCTGAGCTACACCACTGTGAAACTCAAAACTAACGTTTCCAGCCCCGCTCCTGCTTTCACCCGATACAAACCTCAAACAAACCTCCTGAAGATACTCACATATTGGTGTGAATCTGAGTCAAAGCCACTGCCTGTAACCAATGTCCGTGTCTAGAGCACTTTACATTCAATTCCTGCTTTAGCTCCTCACGCCCTGGGGATGCAGCCCAGCACACAGGAGGGTTCTGGGCTCAAGCGCACGCTGAAGCCAGGTCATGGGGAGCTTCTCGTCACCAAAATACCCAAGTCCTTCTCCTCAGGGCTGCTCCATCCCATCCCCACTAGGCTGTGGTCACAGTCCCACAACAACAGGTTCAAATGCCCTTGTGTGCCCATTCCAGGGGAATGACAGACTCCAGCATCTTTGTTTCAGGGACCTCACAGTGGTGATGAAACCTTCCCACTTCTGTGTGGCGTTCTGCTCCTGCTGTGTACCTCACGAGGCAGGAGTTACTTTAGCAGACAGCAGAATAACAGGAAAAAACAACAGAAAATTACATCCCCAGCTCTTGGCCACAGCCACATGCTCACACTTCGCAGCAGGATTTTAATAGCTTGAAATGTAAAACTACAGCTTGGAAGATTAAATTTGGTTTCATTAATGTAATATTGCTTTTTTAAACAATATTTCATTTGGAAATCGTACTACCTGACTAAGTGTCTAGCTTTTTAATTTCAATTTAGAAAATGAGAGAAGGAAAGAGAGCATTTACCTTTGTCCATCGGCAGAGCTTCACCCCAGAATGGCTCCCAATCAGCTTGTAACCTGGAAACCAACAAAACAATAATCAAACTATTGACTGGAACCTGCAATAACTCAAACACAAAACATGCCAATTGGCACACCAAATCATTCAGCATCACGGTCTCAGCACCGCTCTTTCCCATTGGCCCAAGCTGATGCTACCCAGTGCCCACTCACAGTATTCTCCATTTCCTTCTGGGAGCACAGGGGAGCAAAGGCCATGGCTGCCCAAAGGGCTTCAGACAACTTGGAACACTTTCTCCTCACCGGATATTTAGTTATATTGCTCTGTCCTGTTTGAATCAACAGAGGGTGGCCAGAAGACTTCTCCATGTGACAGGAAGGCAGACTAACAGGTCTAGCCTCTTAGTGGAACATGGAACACCTCGCTGACCCCAGGGGGTTAGGATATGGGAAGGACCAGGACAGGGAAACAGAAGCATCTCCTCCCATCCCTAAGCCATCATCCCAGAACAGACTGCTCCCCAGAACCACAGAGACCTAATTCCCACTGCTTCTCGGTAGGTCTGACCAGCCTGGAGGACATCTGATTCAGCAGGGAGGGCAGAGGCAATGAACCACAATGCAGGGCTCAGCTTGAACCCAGACTTCACAGGTTCACCACTTCCACCTTCACTGCCCATGAAGGAGCTGCAGAGAGGGAGCCGCTGCGTTATGCCCAGAGGAAAGCTGATTTCGCATCACTTCCCTGCTCCTCAACCGAGACCAATACAATTTCATTTCAATTTATTAGCCCAGGAAGACTAATTCCACAGCATTTGTTAAGCACTAACCACTATTACTACCCAAACTGCTTGAGTTGGGTTCTTTTTCTCTTTGGAAAACGTGCCTAGGGACCAATATGTCTGAAGGATTAAAAGTCACTTCAAAAACCAGCATAAAAATAAGAGGGATTTGAGCAGCCCAACTGTGTCATTCCCACTGCAGCACTTACACATCCATGGCCTGGCTGTCCCCAAACCAGCACATCTCAACTGACTGCTTTAGGCTGACATTTATATTAACACTTTCAAGAGAAAAATCGACTTCTAGGTATCAAGTCTCCTTCCTGCCAATCAGCATGAAATTAACAGGGGAAAAAAGCCTTCTGCTCACCAGAACTGCCCATCATCTCCTACAGCAAGTAGCACAGTGAGCCTGCTCATGTGTCACCATGTGTCTCTTCCATGGTGAGGTCCCAGGGGAGCGTGACTGCGCCCCAAAGTCCCCCACACCTCCGAGGACACTAAGCCATGAACTACAGTGAGAGCTGCACCAGCTCAAAATTAAACTGTGTGAAGACGAAGATGTCTGCATGGCTGAGGACACTCCTGCCTCCTCACACTGGTTCTATCCTTGTAGGGGTTAGGACAGAGGCAATTTTAGCCTGACCAGTCCCCTGAAGCAACTCTCCAGGAGACTGTATGGACAGCACAGGGGGAGTGGCTGCAGGAGCAAGCAGTGGGGCTCCCCTGTTACATGGCAAAGGGGCCAACTGCCACATTAAGCAGGGCTTTGGGGACATCAGCGTCAGGCTGCTCCTATGTCTTGAGATCCCTCTCCCCATCCAGCTCTGCGGGAATAGACAATATTCCAGCCTTTTCCTCCCTAAATGAATAAAGCCCTATACATCATGGAAGAAAGAACTACTGCAAGCCAAAACCAGCCTTGGTATTCCATATGGCCCATCATTCAGTCCTCTCCTGGAGAAAGACATCAGCACTTCTAATAGGGAATTTATAGTCTCAAAAGCCAAATGCAATACTGGGGACACCTTTATCTATGACTGCATGAGACCCAGAAGACCCTGTGGCAACTTCTGACCGACACTACACTTGGAGGGACAGCCAAACACATAACTGCATTTGGCTGCATCACATCATCTCTCCCACCCGCAGTCTGTCCTGCTTACTCCTTCAGCCTATCTTTGCAAACAGGCTTGTCCAGCAAGGTCTAATCTCAGCTGAGACCTCCCTGTGCACCTCAGGTTTGTGTCCTTGCAGGATTTCTTGACAAGAAAACTTTGCCAAATGTGAAAAGGATGCTGCATTCCTGCTCCCTCTACTACAGCTGCCCAAGGCAGGCTCCTTGCTGATGGCAACCAGCACAGCCCCAGCCTTATTTGTTCACTTTTCAGAATCAGCAACAGCGTTCATGTAAGATCATTCTCTCACAGATCTCTTGTCAGTAGAAGTAAGATGACTGCTTTAAAATGGGGTTTAGGTTAAAATTAAATTGGAAACAGGACATGCTCACCCAGATCTGCTACCCAGTTGTATGAGGGAAGAGATGAAGCACCTAAACTGAGCAAGGTGCCAAGCTCTTTAGTTACTTAAATCAACTTCCACCATGTGGAGAGCCCACAGCTTCCTCTGAAGGCCAAGAAAATTGGACCCATTCAATATCAAAACCGTCTTACAAACATTACTCATAAGCAATCACTCTAACTGAATATTTGGATACAATACCCTCCAAACAATACAGACTGCTGTCTCCATGGGACTCTGCTCACCGTCCTGATGCACCTTCAGATATTAAGGCTGAACAAACACAATCCACTTATTGTTTCTAAAGCCCAATATTCAAAGGAATACTTAAATCATAAGCAGGCTGATAGGAATCAGCTCAACTCCTGACTAAAGTCCTATCTAAGTCTGCATATTAGTTGATCCTGCTCTAGATGATAAACTCTGAATGACTTACAAGTCTGCCAAGCTTCAAAGTTGTTATTTTATTTACTACAGGAAGACATGAATTAAGATTTTGGGTGAAGGGAGTGTTATCATGCAGTAACACTGAGCTGATAAACATTTGGTGATTGCTGGCCCTGACAATCCAACTGGACTTTAATAAGCCATGGGCAGATTTTGAACTGAAGAGACTTCCAGCACCACAGATGCTGACTGCTCCCTTGTATGGGGCAAAACATTTCTGTGACCATTGAAACTGCATCGCAGCATTTCAACTCTGTATTGGAAATAACAGTCCCTAAAAACCAGCCCTTTAAAAGTCCTTTCACTGAAATTCAAAGAATTCATTGAGGGACCCTGCAGTACTCTCAGCCACAGAGGCAGGATACTGCCAACTACATACCTGTGTCGTGTTCCAGGCTATCCAAGGTATTCTGGTTTTGATTGCTTACCAGTACCATACCCATAGCATGTCCTTCTAAGCTCCTGAATACGTATGAATTTGGTGCATATGCGAGCTATTATGCTATTTTAGTTTTTCAAGCCAAACAGATAAGTCAAATTTCTGCAAGTACAACTTGTGAACTGCTTTTGAGGACCGCTGACTATTTGATTGCGGCAAAATATCCAGAAAGAAATCCAGAGACACTTTCCAGTTCAGATCTCCACACCACCAAAAGCTGCTTTACAGGCAAGCCTTTGAAAGCACAGAGCAAAAGATTTAATTATAAAAGAATGAAGTAGAGGAGTGGTTAAAATAAATCCTCAAAGAGTACAAGAAAAGAGACTTACCCATCCTCCTCTAAGAGTGCAGTCACCATTAGCTTGGTGAAAGCCAGTCTGGTGTCACATTGTCTTCACAAACTCAAATGATTTTCAGAAGGCTTTTCTTCCAAGTAACACAGAGCTGGCAAATCAGTGTGGTTCTATCAAGCCATCTCCTTAAATAAAAGCTGCCTTGTTTGAAGCACTGATTATTTGTGGAAGCTGAAACTCGGTGCAGAAAGGGGAACTTCACACTAGGAGACTCTTTACGGGCAAAAAAGATCCCAGTTTTCTGCAAGAGTGCAGTTTAAAAGGGCCTGAGCTGAAGTCACTGACACACAGCAGTAACCCATCACCACTGATTTAAGGTGCATTTTGCAAGTGGTAACACAACTCCTACACTAGAACCACCACCCAAAAGACAGTGTTCTGCTAAAGCTAGAAAATTAGTAAGGAAAAGAAAACAAGAAATACTGTTGTTGAAAGGAACCCGTTCAAACTATATCACTATTTTATACAAATATAGAAAGAAGTGGAATCTGGGCAGTGGAATTTTTCAGATGGCCCAAGCATGATGGAGAAACACCCAGCTTCATTCCTAGCTCTGCTCAGACTTCAAGAAAGTGCTTTTAAAAAGCACAAAAGCATTGTGATTTGCGGAAGGACTTGCTTCCATGAACTCAAAGCGGGCCAGAAGACATGAGACAAGACTGCAGTCAAAAACATTACAGCATTTCATTCTCCAAGTGGCCACTTCTACAGACCATAAGAAAAGCACAGTTTCATTCACTGCCCAAAACCAAACCAACACAGACGGGATCAGAAAGTGAACCAGTGTGAAACACCCCTGTGACTGCCACGGCACAAAGAGCCAGCACAGACCCTGCACCACAGAACAGCCAGGGCAGTCTCCCCAGCCCATCTCGGGTCCCTGTGTGTCAAAGCAACACCTGAGCTGCCTGGGGGACTTGGTGCCGCTCCAGCTTCTGAAGCAGGGGACTTGCTGCAGACAAGAGAACTTCCCTCCCCACTGCCCAGTTCTAGACAGCCATGTCTCCAGCAGCCCACTCCAATGACCATGGGCAAACACATCACCAGTCACCTACAAAAGCTCAGGCTCCAATCTTGGGGAGCAAAGGATCCCACAGCTGCTGGACTCATACAGGACGTGGAAAATCAGAGCCCAGCTCTGAAGCAAGGTGCCTCCACAGCAATAACAGAACTGTGTTCTCAGAAGCATCAGGAGACATTCTACTGATTTAGCAAGCATAAAAACTGAACGCATTCTCATCCTAAGAAAAGAAAGAAAAGAAATTAAACTAAACTGCCTTCAGTCTCCAGCTGAACAAAAGCTCCCATCACCCTTCGCCTGGATCTGACACTCAGAACTGAGGCTTCTGAACTGCAGGGCCCTCAGTCCAGCTCTTCTCAAGCTTGTCCTCCTTTGTTTTGAAAAGGCCATTGAATTCTCTACAGCTTGTTCAAAGGCCACTGATCTGATCAGCAGTGGATCGATAAAGCTCATTTGAACTACCTTCTTCTCTGCAAATAAAGTTTCAGTAACAAAATCAGAGTTTGAAACAGAAGTAAAAGCAGGGGCACAGCTGATCTTTAAGTATTTTTTGAGGAACACACACTCTTGGAGCTGAAGGCATGTGGACTATCATCTTCTCCCCCAAGCTGCTTAGCAGCTACATTAAACCCTTTGAACTCTGAAACACTCACCACATTCAGAGTGCATCACACTCAGATGCGTTACCCAGCTTCAGGTTCCTTCCCTGCAAGGATAAGGTACCAACAGCCCCTGCCTAAGCCCTGTCCTGCCCCTGCTCAGAGCCTGCCATGACTGAGGGTCCACAGCAGTACCTCTAACAAAGAACACCGTCTGTCACTTAGGTTGCTAAAGTCCACCACTAAGACTTCAAAGCCTGGGCCACCATCTGCTCTTTGCAGAACCTCACCTTGTTTTGTGAGCGCTTCTCTCAGAGCTGGGGTTATCATCTCTTGCTTCCCACCCTCCTCCTTCCTCCCAGCGTTCTCTTGAGTCAACCTCATTCCAACACCTCCTTCCTCGAGCTCACGTTCTCTCTGTTTAAAGACAAGGAATTACAACCATTTAGATCCAAGCATCACAGTTTAAATGCTGGGGCACAGTTCAGCCACAGACCTGCTGAGCTTAAAACTGACACAAGTGTCCATGCATTAATTCTTGCATTCCTGTCATTCTGCTTTTTACCCCTCTTCCCATTGGACTCTCACCTTTCAGTTTAAGATTTAAGACAGAAAATATACTAACAAATAAATAAATAAATAAATAAATAAATAAATAAATAAATCAATCACCACACCAGAAACCAGGTGGACTTGTTCTACTAACACAGCAACCAGCTTCAAGCAAGCTGGGCTAGTGGAAGGTAGGTGGGGTGGAACTAGATGAGCTTTAAAGTCCTTTTCGACCCAAACCAGTGTGCGATTCTGTGATTTAATAACATTCTCTAGGGCATTTTAAGAAACAAGCTGTTTGAATCTCATGTGAGATTGAGTGGGACCCCCAGGGTTGAAGCCCAGGTGTTACATGGCTGCACAATAACCTCATCTCTCCACAGAGCACAAACCAGAGGGAGCAAAACATTGCCTGGAGTGACAAGGGTCTAGGGGTGCAGCCCAGGACAGAGGGGGGATCTGGGCTCAAGAGCACACTGAAGCTGGATCATGGGGAGCTTCTTGTCACCCAAACCCTCAAAGTGCTTCTCTTCAGGGCTGCTCCATCCATTCTGCCCAGCCTGTGTTTGTGCTTGGGATTGAGCTGTCCCAGATGCAGGACCTTGCCCTTGCCCAACCTCATGAGGCTTGCACTGGGCCCACACATAAGGAAGGGAGCAAGGAGATAAAATCTTCATCTTTTTACTATTAAGTATCAAACAAAGAGCTTCTCCTCCCACAGGCTACCATTCAACCCAGAACTAGGCCCAGCCATTCAACAGGAAAAGACAGGCACCATCTGAGCACAAATTTGTGAGCTACTCTGAGCAAAATGCTATGCAGGATTTAGAAGTGGACACATCCTGGCCTGTCTGATCTACAATCTCATGCCAGGTTAGTTCTCCCCGAAGAACCAAAGCTGCGTTACGGAGCACACAGAATCATATCATACGATTGTTTCTGTTGGAAGGGACCTTAAAGAGCGTTACATCTGGTTCCAACCCCCTGCCATCAGAGTATTAAAAAGGCAGGGATTGACTTAAGTACAAAAGAAACATACTGCCCAAGACAGCCTTCCGATACAGGAAAGGTCTGTCTGAATATCAAGGATTTGCCTCTAGTGCCTCTTACAGCAGTGTCTGAGGAAAGCATCTGAACGGAAGAACAACAAGGAAAACTGCCTTTCTGGCGGGGCAGAAACACTTTTCAATACTCATTTTTCCTCACAGGGATGACAATTCCCCTCCCCAGGCCCAATGGAAAGCCTGTAAGGAAAATAACCAGCTGTTTTTCTCTGAGCTGCACCACCTCACTTGTTCAGTTTGGCAAGTGACTGGCTTCAGGTATTTCTTGTGGGAAATAGAAGTCACACCCTGGGAGATTTACTTACTTGCTCAATAAACCTTTCATAGCTATCATTTAGGGTTTGAGTGGTGAGAGCAGAGTTAATTTTCCACAGAGCAAATTTCTCAAGTCCTGGGGATTTAGCAGGAAGTCCTGCAGCAAATCCAAAACAAATGACAGTCTTTCCACAACAAATCAAGCAAGCAGTGATAAAAGCCAGCTTCTCAGGCCCTGGAAATCCCACAAAACCAAAAAACTCAGGAGTCATCCTCTGGTCTACACTGACAAAAGATGAGAAAACCTGGGGATACGCTCCAATGGTACCTCCAGGCTCAGCACAGCTCCTGCTACAGGCTGCAGGAAGGGGCTTTCCTACTGCCATAGAAGCAGACCTCAGTAAAAGCAACTGAGCCTCAAGTCTAAGGACTTATGATCACCTCCTCTACACGTGAAGGCAAAAATCCCACCTCTTCCCTTTCACTGCCATACAGGCAGAGCAACAGGCAGCAGCAGCAGCACATAGTGAAAGCAGAAGCCCATTTTGGATGGGTCAAGAGCAGAGGATGTCTGACACAGGGCACAGACACAGCAAGGACCTCAGCATTCTGTGAGAACCGTATGAAGCTCAGCAAGGCCAAGGGCAAGGATGTGCACGTGGGTTGGGGCAATTCCAGGCACAAACACAGACTGGGGGAGAATGGATTGAAAGTAGCCCTGAGAAGAAGCACATGGGGCTCTTGGTCTACAAGAAGCTCCAGTGGGCGCTTGAGCCCAGAACCCCCCCGTGTGCTGGGCTGCACCCCCAGAGCGTGAGCAACAAGTCAAGAGAGGGGAGTCTCCCCTATGCTGTGCTCTGGGGAGACACCACCCCCCCACCCCACCCCCCCCCCCAGTAGTCCTGATCCAGCTCTGGGGCAACAGCACAAGAGGGACTTGGAGATGCTGGAGAGAGGCCGGAGGAGGCCATGGAAATGCTGCGAGGCCTGGAGCAGCTCTGCTCTGGAGGCAGGCTGGTTCAGTCTGGAGAAGAGAAGGCTCCTTAAGGGGAGACCTTAGAGCAGCTCCAATGCCTAAAGAGGCTACAGGAAACCTGGAGAGGGGCTTGGGACAAGGGCCTGTAGGGACAGGACAAGGGGAATGGCTTTAACCTGCCAGAAGGGAGATTGAGATGAGCTCTTAGGCAGAAGCTCTGCTCCCCTGAAATGGGGAAGGCCCCTGAGAAGCTAGCTTGGAAGCGAGACTTTTACTCCTGGAACAGATACCTTTGTGACCATTCCATAACCAGCTGGAAGGAAGTCTCCATCCACACATATCTCCTCAGCAGAGTAACAGAAGGTCCCTCAAGTTATGCTGAGGCAGCAGGTACTAGCTGCCAGCCAAAGGAAGGATGCTATTCAAGCAGACCTGCAGCTCAACCTCCATAGGAGGAATTTTGCACTTTCTTTCCTTGGAAAAGTCAGTGCTGACGGTTTTGGACATACACAGCAGCAGTTGAAAACCCAAATTCATGCAGACATGTAATAAGGGAAGACTTCTGCTGCTATGCAACTACATCAGTCTGTGAGGGTACTGCACATCTGTGAAATACAAGTGGGTAAATGATCCTACCAACATCCCATTTTCCTGTAGTTCAACATCAGCCAGAATCCTCATGGATAAAACAATTCCCAGATCACAACTCTAAAAATACATCTGCAGGGCTCCAGAGGGCTTGAAGGTTGCTTCCCTGAGCTATAACATCCCTGATGTGCTGGAGGGGAAGCTTTGCAGCAGGTCATGAAACCACAACTCCCTCTGCTGCACAGCTCTGCCAACGTTTGTTTGATTTGGGAAACTTGCTTGGACGCACCATAAAGATTGATTCCCAAAGGAAACAAAAGAAAACTAACAATGGCCTGTCTCCACCGAAAAGTCACCCCCTTAGAGCTGAAAATTGGGCCATGTAGTCACACTTCTATTTCTTTCTTCTGTGCTATGGTAATCACAACTAAAATCCAGGTAAACGTGATTTAAGCAGCAACCCAAATCCCCACTTGCCAAAATCACAGCCCAGAAAGTCTGGAATAATTCGGCACTTCACCTTCTGAAGGGGGCACAGCCCAGCTCCATGCACACAACCACACCAACTGCTTTGCCAGCAAAGCCTTGTGCTTCACACCTAGGGTTCCCCTGCATGCTTGTTCATAGCAGATTATACCTAACAGTTCTCTTCCTTTAAAACCTACCAACCCATCCTTGTCTGGGCACTGCTGATGGGTCACAGGGACCAGCCCAACTGAGCTGGGTCAGACTGACCCCGACACAGGGAGCACAGATCCAGCCCCAGGCTGCCACCAGACACTGGCAAAGGCTCTGGCAGTGGCAAAGAGGAATGTCGTTTCCTTCTGCAAAAGCTTCACTGCATTATTACAAGAAAATGGTTTTCACAATTACATTGAAAAAATCCAGATGCTTTGGCACATGTCAGTACTCCATGCAGCACAGAAACAGTTTAATGTCATGCTATAGAATCCACCTCCTTCTGTAGAGCTGAGAGAATGCTACTTCTGTTCTCTCAGTGCCACTCTCTTCTGTTGAGAAAGCTGTTTGGAAAGATTGCATCTCATCTGCACATCCACAGCACCTACCAAAATTCAATCTCCATCTCATGCCAAGCCTCTGCAACCCAACAGCAAGAGAGGGATGTCACAAGAGCACCTCTGACACACGAACAAGGACAGGTGAATACTTTGCCTGCTTTGGCAACACAAGTATCAGCAAAGGAAGCAAAATTGTGGCTCACCTTGTAACAGGAAAGAAAAAGCAGCTGCCACTCTCCAAAGCTGCTCTTTACACAGAGCACAGGGACACTGGACAAGGTGAGGATGTGTTTGCATTTCAGAGACACCTACAAACTGCACTGACCACTGCAAGCAAGAACCTGGAGAGCTGCTGCAGCTGCAGGCCCAGCCTGCAGAGCTTGTCCCACAGAACATGACTGCAGCCACTGCACCTCCCGAGTCAAACTGATTCATTTGATGACAGACACTGCACTCCCACAAGACATCCTTGTGCTCCTCTCCTTGGATACAGCAATGAAATCAACAGGCCACTTGCTCCATGCTTCTTCCAGGAACTACCCTCAGCAGATAACTCCTGTGTGCATTGGTTTGCGGGCATCTCTCAGCTGGGTTATTTGGCTGACAAGCACCTTAAAACACGCCCAGGGAAAAAAATCACCTGAGCAATGCAGCACAAAGCTGCTGGGAAGCGGGAGGCAGATGGGCTGAGCTGCTGCAGACCAAGCCCTGGTTATCTCCAGCCACAGGTGCTCAAGAAAAGGCTGCAAACAACACTGGGGGTGAATTTCAGATTTCCAGGCTTTTTTATAGCCATCAGCTCTGCTTCACTCCCCTGTTTCTGACTAATTTACAGTAGACTCAGGAACAGCAAGGGCTATGGCAGCTACCAGCAAGGGCAAAAAGAAGAGTCTTTGTTCACAGAGCTCATGGCCCTTTACAGGCTTGTCAAGGGAGCCAGCATCACACCACATGCCAAACCCA